ACCAAATGATAATGTAGCTTTTTGTTTCTAGATGACTTTGTGGTGCTAATTTTTTTTGTAGGTTTTGCTACTTTCACTTAATTCTTATCTATGTTTGTAGAATTCTTTGCAAGGGTTGTCCAAGAAACTCATCAAGATTAAGGGCTGAAGCCTATTAAGCTGGAGCAACTTATCCAATGGGTGGATATTCTAGCTTGTAAAATTTTTAATTTTCCTTTTATTTTCTTGTTTTAATAACATTTATATATTGGTACATTTTCTCACTAAGTATTAGAATGAAGCAAAAGCAGAAACATTTACTGAAAATGGGGGAAAAAACGGAATTCTAAATTGAAAACAGAATTCCCTAAAGCCTAAAATGGAATTAAGGAAAATCTGAAATAGAAAATTGGTCCCTCTACATATGCTAGGCTATCAGGATCACCTTAGTAGGCCTAGCATAGAAATAAATGTAATATGGGAGCCATTAAGACAGACAAATGACAGCAAGTCTTCAACAGCAGCAGCTTCAACAAAAGAGAGAAAGCTTCGTTGAGTGCAGTCAAGCATGACAAGCAGCACTCATCAGCAGGCAGGTTAGGTTTAAGACTCCAAGTTCACCATAGACAATTGTCCCATAGAACAATAACCTAGTGGATTAAAGCATTGGTTCATGAATTTGGGGACATTATGAGTTCAATCTCTGGGCTGGTCATGTGTACTTGGGCTCAGTAGAAACAGGACAAGCAATAACTGAGCAATACTAAAACTAAGATATGACGAGATATCCCTAGACATGTACAGTGGAAAAAGCACAGTCTTACCCCATCAGTTCAGTTCGCTGTAGGATACCTGAATCGACATACACCTGAACAGGCAAAATGTTGTGATAACAACAACAAAGATGAGGACAATAGTTTGAATATAAATATTGTAAATAATGATAATTCCACATCCCAGAAATTCAAAGAGAAACTACAGCCTAATCATTTAATATAACTACATCAATAGTAAATACTAGTTAATACTAAGCTTACTGAGACTGATAGATAATAGAAATGAAGAGGTGTGAATAGATTTGATAATTTATTTGAACTGATATTTTTATCTTTCTTGAGTCCTATTTCATTGCTTTTGACAGTAAACTCTTCAGCTATTTTCCAGTAACATCACCTATCTAGTGACACTCAATAAAAATAGCAGTGGTCAAAAATAAAAACCACAAATATATTGACTTTCCAAGCTTAGCTTAGATGTGACACAAGGCTGAAAGTAGGGGGCACCCAGTGAGGATCAAACTCACTATTCAGTCATAATTGTTCTAGTGAGCACTGCCTTGAGGTGCCCAAAACAATGTTATTTACTTTACCTTCCCGCAAGGGAGGATGTAGCACAAGGCCAATTTTTAATGCGGGGCAAAACCAAAAAAATTCCTCGTAGACCCCATATACATCTGGGTTCCTCTCTGCCTGAAAGTAGAGAGTTCGACCCGCACCACAGCTGGAGATGTATCCCCAACTAATTGCCAAAGCAAGTTATAAAAAAAAAAAAATTTATTTGGCAAGATTTACTCTTAAATCTTATAAAATCACAGAAATCATACAATAAAGAAAAATGAATTTTCCAGTCCATAACAATAGACTTGCCTGTTGTTGGGTAATTATTAGCAACCTGGTCTCACTATGTAAAGAGTCATGAGAAAGTCTGTTGCTATGCTACCACAAAGCATGCTTGGTGTGATTTGATGTGTCAGAATTTTTTATTTTTATAAATTCTTTAAAATTATAAATGAAAAATATAGCATAATGATAAAATTCTATTGTTACGATATGGCCTTATTCAACCATTAAAGTAAGGCGATCCTGAAAGAATTAGAACTCCTACCAGGATGTATTATTGGCAAGTATAATCTTCACAACATACGATATGCAAATGCCACAGTGTTGATAGCAGACACAAAAAGGAAAGCAAGAAGAAGGGACTAACCATCAATTGTAAAAAGACTGACTGAATAGTTGCTGTCAGCAAGAGAAACAGTCCAAGAAACAAACTACAAATTGGAGAGGCCAAAATCAAGCAAGTATGAAAATTTAAACATCTAGGAAGTATTTTAACAGAGTAAAACATTGTGAAACTGAAATCTGTGTATTAGAATAGTGAAAGATGCCTTCCAAAAGTTAAGCAAAGTATTAAGAAACAGGAAAATTTCAATAGCAGCAAAACAAAAGTGTTCTGAACAGCTATGTACTGTAGGTCATCTACTATGGCAGTGAATGCTGAACAATTTCCTCATAAATGAAGAAGAGACTTGAGACTGATGTGGTTCTACAGAAAGAATAGCATTAACTGAATATGTGAATAATAAGGAAGTTTTAAGGAAAATGGAAATCAAGAGGACACTTATACTTAGAATCAGAAAGATAAACTTAAGGACATATAATAAGGAAAGAGGGTTTTGAAAATTTGACACTCACAAGACAAGCGGGAGAGCAAGTAACCTAAGAAGTTTGTGTAAATGAATGGCAGAACAGGGATTGGTAGAAATGGTAAAAAGTAAACATAACTAAAAGCTACAAAACAAAGGAAGCTGTATATGGTTTGGTTTGGTTGTTTTAGTTTAGCAGCGTATCAACCTCTCTGGGTTATTTAATGCCAGAATGTAAATATCTTTAACACAATTTTATACCTTCAGCTACAGATATTTTATACTTTCAGAGTAGACTTTTGTTTTATAGATATATAATTTGTAATGAGTTAAAGATTAAATGCAGATCAAATATGGATTGGAATCTGACAAGATAAGATAAAGAACAAATATAAAATCAATCTAACGTTTCCCTTTTATTAAAGTGCCATCAGAGATTGAGAGAAAATAGAACCTTGGTATTTTCAATTTTGTTTGGTTCAATTTTCATTGGCCAGTCATGTGTCAACGTGTAATAAAAACGTAAATAATTCTATATGTATGTAAGTTTGTAAAAATTCTAGTATGTCTAAGCGAGCATCGAATGGTAATGTGTATTCATAATTGTGTATGTGTGGCTGTCTAGTAGGAGGAGTTCATAATATCTTCACCTTTATGTGGTCAACCAGTACAGTGGGGTGGCATTCCACTTTAATCTGGGACTGTTTTTTATACATATAGTCTTCATATGAGATAGATATAAGTTAGATTCTTTAAGAACGGATTCAAAACAAGATGGTGATGTAATGTTTAAGGTGTGTGTTTATAGTTGGTAATAATGTTATTATTAAGTTTCCTTAAAGAATTATGTTCATTTTTAATTAGGGTGGCATTAGTAAAAAAATCAAAAGTTATGTCCAGCATTGTTCCTATGCAATACAAGAGAAATCATTTGTCTAAATGAAAATCTCTCTTGTGTTCATAGATGTAGGCTTTTAGATTCCATGATGTCTCCTTCACATAACCAATTTTGCATTGTAAACAATTTATTTGATAAATCCCGGCATTGGATTTATTTTTCTTCCTAATTATATCACAGATTGTCTTTGAGATGGTCGTAACGATCCTAATATTAGGGATGACTAATTTGTATGGGAGTGTAGTAGAAAGAGTGTTGGAGGGCAGGATTATGAATTTTGTGTCATTTTTGTTAGAAGTATCCTCACTGTTTGCATCAGGGCTCATGATCATATCATGTTGAGACACCAGTTTCCATACAATTGCCAAAGTTAAGCAATGTTGAGGCTGGTCAGTACCTAGATGGTTGACTGCTTGGAAATACCAGGTACTGTAAGCTTGGATGAGTGGGTGGTATAATAGATAATGGCTTAGAATTGTTAATCAGAGACCAGATTTTCAATTTTCGTTTAGTTCATTATATTTACTTACATGCAAATACTCATTTGAAAGGTATGAACCCACCTCTTCTCTCCCCAGCTATGGGTTAATTAGTAAGATTAGTGATGATTAATATCACTAAATTATTATCTAAAAAAAAATTTTTTACAATCTAAAAATATTTTCTGGCTTTAAATAACCTGCAAAGTGTTGACAAGTCATAAAAAAATGAATCAATCAATATTTACATCGGGTCATTTATATAAATTCAGTAGCAAATGTGAAAAAGCAGAGTTTGAATTTGTCAACATTTTTAAAATAGGTTTTTAAGACATCTATTTACTCTAATTATATAGAGTGGGATCCATGGAAATTCTATGCTGTTTGCTAATTTTTATTACTCTAATTATTTCAGTCTGGCATATTTCATTATTAATATATCATTTAAATGAGGCAGATAGTAGCCACAATAGGTCGTTATTGCTTCCTCTGTTTTCCCTTTCTTTCTTAAAGCACATATACAGCCTCAAAACACCCCAAAAAGGTTTGAGATTTACTGCTGCTACACTAAGAATTTGTGGACAGGGGACAGGCAAGCTATTACATGGTGTAATGCAAGTGCTAAGGAACAAGCAGAATTATGATATACATGTCAAATATATTTGTGAATGTTTATTATAGGTAATAATAGACTTGAAGCAACAGGTTCTACAGAAGGATACTGAGAATACTGTAGACCGAACATGTGAGTAATGATGAAGCTCTAGAGACAATGGAAACAAAAAGAAAACTTATACTTAGCATCAGGAAGAGACAGTTGAAATCTCTAGGGCACATAATGAGGAAAGAAAGCTTGGAAAATTTGATACTCACAGGTTAAATCAAGCAGGACAGAGGAAAACAGCGCATACCTGGCAAACTTGAGTGAACTTGAGCAGGGTTTTGGAGAGATAGCCAAAAGACAAAAGAGCTATAAAGGACAGGAAATTGTGGAGAGCCATGATCGCCAAAATCCTGAAGGCACATGGTATATAGAAGTAGCAGCATATGAATAAGAGTAACAGCTGAAAAACTGTTAAAGCATTTGTTTAATCTTATTTAAACAAATCCAAGTTAATGTCATGCAATATTATTTCTGAAAACAATGAAAATAGAAAGTTCTTTCTTCTATCAGCGAAAATGATCAGTATGTGGAAAATTAATAGAACTTTATGCTTACCCATTGATTCATCTTCAGGTGTATACAGTTCACTCATAGCTTTTTTATTACTGCACAAAGACATGAATTCACTTAGATAATCATCTGAAAAAGAAATTAAAAATAAAAGTCAATTTTACAAGGTAAAATATAGAATATATACAGTCTGTTTGGAAAGAGGATAGCTATTTTCAATATCTTAGGTACCAGTTGATTGGCTTTGATGTAACTTGACAACCAATCAGAAAGGAGCTTACTGCATACATATAAATGTGTATATATGGGGTTACATGGTCAACAGTGAGATACTATAATAGGTACTTCCACAGAAAATGTGATACCTAAGGTTTAAAATGAATTTTTAAAAATGAAAAATCTTTCTTGAAGCTTTTATTTTAGATTCAAACTAATAGATTAAATTTAATATTTCTAATAAGTATACTTTGCTGTATTTCAAAAACTTATTTAGACTGGAAGGAGTTTTTTTTTTCTAAAATAGCTTATTAGCACCCATTTTTAGTTGTCTTTCATCACAATGTAATTCTCTTTATTAAAATATCTTCCAAAAATAGATTATACTTTTCTGAAACTTTATATGAGGAATATTAGTTGATTTAAAGTAAAATTAATCTGAATTTAAACAAATATTATTTACTTTAAAAATCTTTCTTGAAGCTTTTATTTTAGTTTTAATTCCTACTATGAATTTGCGCATATGAATCAATACAATCTGTGCTACACTTGGTCAGATTTTGTTCAGGATGTGGCGTGTTTGTTTGACAGAGCTGGCTCAAATGACTGAATGAATACTACCACCAGTACAAGTAAATTGTATATAGTAAATAAATACTTACTTAGAAGACATTGAGAATCTTCAGTCATAGCAATTCGTACTGACCACTGAGGAGCTTGTAGAGGGTCCAGATCCCTAAAATTGAAAACAATTATTTCCAGTATGATGTTAAGTAGAAATAAGACAAACAGGAAAATACCAGTAGTTTACTTAAAGGATGTGTATTGTGATGTAATAATGGATAGTGGCTCAGAATGAGAACCCGGAGAGCTGAGTTCGAATCTCAGTCGAGTTCATTATATTCACCAACGGACAAATACCTTTGGAGAAGGTATGAATCCATCTCTTCCCCCAACCAACTATGGGTTGAATAGCAGGACAGGCTGGGTTCTTTAGCCTTGGTTAGCAACCAGTCTACTGCAGAAAGAAATGGCAACCTAATGTGAGAAAAATATTTTACCTTGTCAGTCCTGCATCAAAAGATAATTGATTACCCAAGTGTTTATCACATATGGCACTTAACTGACTTAAAGACATGTCAATGAATGCCATTTAATGATTACAATAAATCCTTTCAATTTCAGTCCTATATTTTGTTTTCTTCTCTTGAAAATGATGGCATTTTGAGGTTAAAAAAAGAAATATAAAGTATTCTGATAGAAGCAGAAAGGGAAGAAAAAAAAATCTGCTTTAGACATTCTACCGCATGACCAACGAAAAACTGAAGGGAAAAGGTTTCTTCTTCTCCCAGTTAAGAGTTAAATAACAGTGTAGAATGTGTGGTAGCCAGTCTAGTATAGGGTGGCCACTGAAAAACTGAAGGGTTTGAAACTGTCATAACTTATTCGTTATGAAGAAGGCCAGAGTGTACAACAGCTGAAACATCATGAATATGGTAACAAAGATGAAGACAACAATCCGAACAATGTAAAGAGTGTAAATAATTACAATACCTCATATTAGAAATATAGTCAAATTTTTTTAAATGAAGCATCGTTAAGTATTATTAATTTTTGACTGGTATTTCTTTCATCATAATTTCTGTTGCTTTTTATGCAACTTTCAGATTGTTGTTACTCTTTGACTGCCAATATGCAGTCTTGATTGGAACATATGTACTTACGTGTAAACTTGGTTTTCTACTATGATATTTTCTGAAAGACAAGGCCAAGTGCAAGAGAGATGAAGTTCACTGAAATAAAAGAAAACAGAAAAGAAAATTTAAACCAATTAAGACATTAGGAAGAAATTCTAAGAGATGGAATTAAAAATAATGAATACATAGGTGAACTATCAAAATTTATGTTTCAATTTTTCAAATATGACAAAATATTAACAACAGAAATATGGAACTGTATGAATCTGTTATTCTTTATATTCTATAATTTATGAAAAAAAAAGTTGTTTTGTCTTTTATTATACTTGAGACCATAGCTAAAAGTTTGCTTGGCTTCATGACTGAGACTATAGGCAAAAAACTGGACATCCATACCCAAGTCAGCAAGGATCCACCCAGTAGGTAGTCCCTTTTTGTTGATGGGGTGAGAATATTAGACCTCTGCAGGAGATGCAGTTACAATCCTCTTGGTGCCACTCACAGAACACCATTTATCAAATGGTTTAGTGAATATGAAATAGAAGTTAATGTAAAAGAAAATGCTTCGACAACTATACTGATGCCATGTCACCATTTTTTGTCATTTTAGGAAAAGCATAAATCCATCTCTTTTCCCTCCTATTATGAGTTCAATAGCAGGGTAGACTGTACTCTCTAGCCTTAGTTGGAAACCAGTCTAAAAGAATAAAATCTAGATTCAAAATGTTTAGGCATACATATGCCATAAAGCAGAAGAAGGGTATTTTTGTTATCAAATCTGGCAATTTACTGTAACTGATCCTCTAACAGATGTCCTACACCACACCCTGCTGCTGAATCTTGGAGATATTGAGTAACATAGTAGAATAGACTGTGGTCTCTAGCCTTGGATGACAATAAGTTTAGGAAAAGGAATTCAAAATTGTGAAGAGAGCAATTGGAAACAACTCTCTCCCTTCAGCTATGGTTAAAATGATAGGGCAAACTGGGCTCTTTAACCTTGGAAGGACAACAAGTCTAAAAAGACAACTCTGAATTCAAACTTTGGAGAAAGCAATGGGGAATCACTTGCCTTTAATAGGACTGTGGTCCTTATTTGAAAAAAGAATTATCCTTAAAACTTTAAAATGATTACAAAGACATTGGTCAAAGTTTGCTCAAGCCATCCTAGTTGAATGTCAAGACAATGCAATAATATACAGTTTCAAAGAAGTGGAGCCATTATTACTTTGTAATTAACAAAATGAAAGATTGGCTTAACTAGCTCATGGACTTAGGGGATGTCTTAAAATCTGTTGTTCTGAGATGAGGAGATCATTGTGTTATCACACAAACAAATTCACTATAAAAACTGAAAGGCTCCAACCAAAATAAAACTCTGTTTAATTTTATTTTCTTTAGAAAGGTATTTTTTATATGTAGAAAAATCATATAGAAAACGTTGTTTCCACATTCAATCTACCTCACTGGGTCTTCACAAGCACCAAATGGTAAAGTCCCAAATCCAGTACAACCAACTTCTTCATCTCCCATAATGGAAAAATCTGGGGAAAACAAAACAATAGAATTATCAGTTAGAATCATTTTATTTATCAACATAATACATAAAAATATATTAGAAAGTTAACTAAACACAAATAACTTCTTTGTATCATTGTTTTTAACATGTTTTAGCTGACCCAATTTCGGATCTCATTAGTGAATAAAAAAAAAAAAAAAATTTTTACAAAAAAATAATCAAAATAAATCATTAGAATATCCACTATTTCCACAGGTACACCAAGTATCCAGGCAATAGTAAATTAGAACAGTAGAAGTAACCAAGATGAATTTTGCTAAACAAAAAAAACCTAAATGTTGAAAATCGAAGACACCTTGAATCCTGCAAATGTCTGATAGTTTTAAAGTTGTTAAATAGGATAATAAAGCAAATCTTACTGATGTTCATATTCTTTGAAGCCCTTAACACGTTCATACAGAGAATAAAAAAAAATGGGAAGTTTTTTAAATGAAACTAGAATTTGAAATAATTAAGATGTCATACCATTCTAGTGTCCAGGCAAAAAAGGAACTGATATACTAAAAAAAAAATAACTATTTGATATCAAGCTTTTTTTTTGTTGAATCACCTGCTTTACAGCATTTTAGTGTCAACTTGTATCACACATAAATATTCATCTCCAATAGTGAGCATTTTTCTCACATAAATATTGTAAATTTTATAATTCCATCAATAAGAACATTCATCATCATCACCATCATCATACTTTGACCTCCCCGTGATTGGTTGGAACTCTATTAACAATCCCTTTTTACACTGCTTGGTCCTGCATTGCTGTTCCCAGATCCTCAATGTCCAACTCTGAGTCCAGAGCCATGGTGTCTGGGAAAGTCAACTTTCGTGAGAAGGCACCTCCAGAAGAATGCCATAAAAGTAAACCTCCCCATCCACTCAGTGATGACAGTGGCCAGCAAACTGCAACCACTTTTGTTTGAACGTAGGAGAGATTGGTCTCAGTTCTCCATAAATTGTGTTAAGCATTGCATGTGATCTCAAACTTGATGTTCTGGATTTTTCCAAGCAGATTTGTATAAGTTCCATTACTGTAGTCTGATGAAGTCCTTTTAGAAAACAAAACATCTTACACAGAATTTTTTTCCATTTTGTAATTCACTTGCCTAACATTGTTACAATATGTAGAAATTTATAGATTATATTCTTTCTCCCCACACATATACATCATATTCTCCTTCTACGCATATATCATATTTATTCTCCCCCATATGTGTGTGTACAAATTTTGTGTTGTTAGAAGCGTTATTGGTGGTGTCTATTTTTTGTATTTGTGAATTTTTTAAGCTCATTTTCTAGTGTCAAGAATGAAATGATGTGGGTAGTGAAGAAGTCTAAATGTTTCATCCTCAACAATTTTTATAATCCTATCGTTCTAACACTCTTTCTACAAAATGTGTAAATAAATTAGCTATAATAGTAATCCACCATGTCCAAGACAATCAAACTGCATTGCTGCTAATAAATAAACTCGTAATAACTCCTATCCCAAGCAGGACTGTTAATATAGACCAGCACACAGATACACTATTTCGGGGTTTTTTTTTGTGACTTGATCTCAAAAACCCCCTCATCCATTCCTTTACTTCTCCTTTAAGTGGATGCCACTTAGAAAGTCCATAGTATCACAAATAGTAATCCTCTGCTGCAAATAGCTTTCTCTCATTTTCCACCAGCAATATAGCAGGAACATGTAAAACTTCTAATACTTGGCAATGAATAATTTATATCGTCTACATCTCAAGAAAGCAAAAGTTGGAACTGAAAGGTCGCATCATTTTACAGATGAAATGGTTAGATGTAATTCTAAGTTCTATGCTAACTTCTTGCACTTCACACTTATGGAACTCTCTTTCAGCCTCTTGCTTCCCAGTCAACTTAGATTGCCAAAAATTCAAATACAATATCAATCGTTATCTGCCGTTTTCTTAATACTTGTTTTTTTAATGTTCTCACTCCTTAATAATGTTAAGAAGCATGAACACTATTAGCAATGAATGCAAGGGTGTTTTTACTTCAAGTGGTAGCTACCAGCCCATTAAGGACAGACAACAGTGAAAACTGCTTACAATATGAAACCAGCTTTTGACTAGGGGACACTATAAATGAACATATAGCTCATTTAACATTGGTTCCAATGATTTTGTAATGGAAACAAGAGACTTGAAGATCAATAGTTACAGACATTCTTCTTCAGTTGATAACAAACTAACCATCTTCTTGATGGTTAGTTTGTAAGAAGACAGAATTGTATGGTTGTCATCAAGAGGAACAGACCAAGATATGAACTACGAATTAGGGATATCAAAATCAAGCAAGTACAAAAATTTAAATATTTAGGAAGTGTTTTAACAGAGGATGGAAAATGTGATACTGAAATCCAAAGGTGCATTTGAAAAGTGAAAGATGCCTTCAAAAAGTTAAGCAAAGTATTTAAAAACAAGAAAATTTCAATAGAAAAAAAAGGAAAGAGTGCTGAACTGCTAGGTAATATTACTAGACACTCCCCTCATGGACGAAGTGATGTGAAGCAACAGAAATGTGGTTATACAGGAGAATGTTGAGAATACCATGGACAGTGCATGTAAGCAATAAAGAAGTCTTAATGAAAATAAGAACAAAAAGGACGCATACGCAGAATAAGAAAGAGAGAACTGAAATTTCTTGAACACATAAATGAAGAAAGAAGGCCTGGCAAATCTAACACACACAGGATATACTGAAATCAAGAGACAAAAGAAAGTGATGAATAACTTACCTACTGAGCTTGTGTAAATGATTGACAGAACAGGGATTAGAAATGATAGCAAAAGGACAAAACTTAAGAGATACAAAGGATAGAAATTTGGGTGTCACATGAATCGAACAAAAAGTGAAAAAAAAAATTACTGTTATCATTCTTTGATGACATGTGACAAAAAACAGATTCTGTACAACAACCACTGTCATTCCGCATCATAGCTGAACCAAAATGAAGAACTAAAACACTTCCCCAAAACCAATTCTGCATCAAAAGATTTGGTCATCCGGCAAGTGAAATCATCCACTACAACTTCTTGAATTCTAGTGAAACCAAACTATCACAGCAGAAAAGTATTGTCAGGAAATTGGCAGAATGCACAAAGAGCTATAATGGTTATGCCAAACATTGGTTAATCAAGAAGAATCAATTGTTCACATAGCAATATCTCCTGCAAATCACTCTACAGAAAATATTAGGTTGGCCAGAAAGTCCTGACTCACTTTCTGACCAGAAAGAAAATAAATTTTGACTTCTGTTGGAATTTCCAAGGAGTACTGCATTTCAAGCCTGTTCCACACAGTTGTGCCATCAACACTAAACTGTATTGCCAGCGGCTAGAACGTGTGTATGACAAACTAAAGAATTCTGATGAAAAGAATTTTTGTCAGGAGCAGCTGCACAACACCCAAAATAACAGATGGCTTGCCTATAATCCATATGATGCTCCTTGTGTTATGAAGACCAAGTTTCCTGTGATAGTTTTTAGGTGTGTTTCTAGTGAGGGTGATGTCATGCCACCTTATATGTTTAAACAGGATCTCAAACTCAATTTTGATGGCTATGCTGAATTGCTAAACACCACGGTCAATCAAGGTCAGGCTTTGTTTCAGCAAGACAATGTAAAGACCACACACTGCCAGGTTCAATAAGGAGAAGTGAGAATCTTCCAGAAGGAACAGTGGAGTAATGGATAGCAGCTCGAATTGAGGAATCGGAGAGCCAAGTTTGAATTCCAGTCGAATCTATTACGTGCTAATACACTTGAAAAAGGTATGAATCCTCTTCTTCTCCCCCCGCCAGCTATGGGTAAATAGTAGAACAGACCAGGTTCTATAGCCTTGGATGGCAACTGGTCTACTGCAGAAAGAAATGGCAACCTACTATGGAGAAAAAAAATCTGCCTCGTCAGTCATGTATCAAAAGGTACATGATCACCTAAGCATGTACCACACATGGCATATAACTGACCAACCGAGATTCTTCCACATCCACCATTCTGCCCCAATGCTGCTCCAAGTGACTATGGCCTATTCTACTCAATGACACACTTCCTCCATGACTGCTCAATGGCACACTTTTGATGAAGTGAAGGAAGCTTGTTTACAACTTTTTGACTGGTATTTAGGACAGATTCAGATGCTGGCTGATCGCTGACAGATCGTCCAGAATGATGGACTTTATTTTGAAGAATAAATGTTGGTGTTGCGCCATAAAATTTTTTTTTTTTTTTTTTTCTTGCTTTCTAGGTGAGTCAGGACTTTCTGGCCAACTTAATAAAATACAAATTTTATTGTAACCTAATTATATACAATAATGGTTCATACGCAATTGTTTCCATGGCAACATGTCCTGCAAATGATGACAGAAAATAGAAAAAAACTGGGCTATGGAACTGTACCTTACCCAGCTTACTCACCAGACATCTTTCTAACAGATATTTTCAAGTATCTCAAAAGACTGTTCATCAGCTGTTCAAAACATTTGAAGAATTCATTATTAGAACTCTATGCAACCATAATAACAATGCATAGATTCTAATGGTTCTTAATTTGATTGATAAATTTTATTCTAAGCTTTGATTGATTGCTTTTATGATTATAAGCTGCAATTATATACTTAATGATAACAAATTACCTGGTGGAGTTTGAGGCCAGGATGAATGGATCCATTCCTGGAGAATATAGGTGAATCGGACAGAAACAGCAACAGCAGGCATTGGATTAATAGCATGGCCCTAATATAAAGATTTAAAAAATAACAATTTTAATTAAGGTTTAAAACATTAATTCCTGAATGCAAATTATGATCATTATTATTACTGTCATCACATTTTGTTTTCTTTTTTCCTCATCAGAACAAAGAGGATTCACACTACAGTATTGTTTCTATTAATAAAAACAAGCATTTTTACCTTTTCTCCAAGCCTTATAAAAGTTATCTCCCTTATTTGATAGGCTTCATACAAAGTTTTCCAACCTGGGTGATATCGCCCACCAGTGGACAATTTCAGTTGTTGGGTGGGTGATGAGCAACTGAATAGAAAATGGTGGGCAATTGGAAATTCTGGTGGACAATATAGGATTTTGTATATTAAAAATGTATTTCAACATCTGCTACCCACCAAAAAAAATATATTCAAAGGAGATTTGCAAAGAAGCTGTATAATAAAAACAGGAGGCTAAGTGGGAATAACTGCATCATATTCCTAGATATAAATATCCCAGAAAACAAGGAATATTTTGATATTTTCTATAGTTCTGAGAAGGATTATTAATGTTCAAATAGTACTTCAGATGAAATAATATTTATTGAATTTCTATTAGTTGCTAGTAATATATATATATATTCTCTTTAATTTTATAATTATGAATATAAATCATTTAATTTTTTATCAACACTTGCAATGCTGACCCTATATATATATATATATATATATATATATAATAAAAAATCAGGAGGAAGATGTGTCTTTCAAAAACATTATTTGGGCTTTGTTTGATCATGAGGTTCTATGTGGCCAAGATGGTCTAAGCTGTGTCAGATCTAATGACGGTTTCCTCTAGAGGACACAGGTTCGAATCTTGCCAGGGGACGCATATTTTTCTAACAAAAGTAGATGTAAATAAATAAATATACTGTTTAATAAATAAATAAAAACAGAGCATCTACTCAAATATGTGTATCCATTTCAAAAATAATGTTTAAGCAAATAAATTAAAAATTATATATACATGAGAAAAATAAAGAACAAATAGGAAACATATACCAATCTAAAATGTTTAACTTTTATTAAAGCTTCATCAGACATTGAGAGAAAACAGACAAAAAGACAGAAACACTGGTATTTTCAATTACGTTTGGGTCAGTCTCATTAGTGAGACATGTGTTATGTGTCTTAAAACTGTAGATAATTCTATATGGATATATGTTTGCGAAGATTCTTTTATGTCTAAGTGGGTATTGGATGTTAACATGTATTTGTAATTGTGTATGTGTGTCTGTCTAGTGGGAGTTCTATCTTCACTTTTGTGCAGTTAACCCATGCAGCAGGGTGACACAAGATTATAATTTATGGCTGATCTCTTTAAAAATGTATTCTTTGTATTAGATAGATATAAATTAGATTCTTTAAGAATGGAGTAGTCAGAAGTGGTTGTCAGATAATTTTTTCAACTTCAACGTCTGGCTCCTAACTTCTCTGATTGTAATCCTATGAATTATGTGTGGGGTGAAGTTGAAAAAGGCAACAACTGCACTGCCTGTAACACCAAGAGCCACCTGATTGAAATGATTAAGGAGGCATTTAAGGCTCTTCCTAGGACCACTGAAGGCCGCATGTGCCAGATTCCGGAGTTGGACCAAGGCCGTAATAAATGCTGAGGGTGGCTTCTTTGAGTGGTTTGTCTTTTGATTATTATAACCTGTATGCCACTTTTCTATTTTTCCAATAAATTTATTTGGGGCTTAGATATTCACTATACATTCCTTTTAAAAAAGACAAAAAACTGTCAAATTTAGCCTGAACACCTTGTATATAGTTAAGCTTAGAAAAAAAATGAGTGCCCATGCCATGGTAAAGTTCATGAGTTTTTCTTCATCTGCTACCTGTGTAGGTAATTGTGCTTTTAAAGGACATGCACTCACATTTTTTTTTAACTTGATAAAATTTTTTAACTAACAGAATTACTGACCAGTTCTGATTTGAAAACATCAAGTAATCCAGCCAAATGAGTGCACTGTTGTGGAAGACGTTTCAAATGTGCCATGTCGAACGAGATTGTGGCTGATGGTAAAACACATGTGCCTGTGTACAGACGACGCCATTTCTGCTGGATCTGGACAAACATGGGGACAGAACTGAAACAGAATTAAACAAATGCACTACACATTCTAGAAATGTTGTAGGAGCCAAAAGCAATGGAAGAACATCATATATTCTTCCCAAAAATGTTGGCTGCTTCATTCTATGGCCTTCTTTAAGTGTACTAGGGAAAGGGAAGCTGGAAACATTAGTAAACAGAAAATTCAAATGTTAATAATAAAGACCAAATAAACAAGGTCTTGAACACAGTGTGGCTTTTAGCGATCAACAAGAACATAAAACAGAATACTTTATTTAACAAAGAAACAATTAGGAACAATGGCATATAAATGATGGTTAGCACTACTGGAAAGAGAGACCTTTTCTTTGCACATGGCTCCTTCTCTCCCCAAGCTATGAGTTAAATATTAGAGCAGATTGGGCTCTTTGGCCTTGATTGGAAACCAGTCTATGAGATGGAAAGCTCTGAAACTATAGGTACTACTAGAAAGAGAGACCTTTTCTTTGAACATGAAGTGTGTACTTGAAAAAAGCCATAGAACGAATCAACTGAAACATTGTGGGAATAGCATAAACTGCCAAAGATTAAATTGTCTGAGTAATTCTTGGAATAATAGTGATTCAATACAAAATTATGGACAATATCAATAACCCAATATGAATTTCATTTTGGCCTTTTTCATTGATGGTGATGATCAGCAGCAGAAAATAAAACAGCATTGCTTATGGCTAAAACAACCAATGCACGATTGGCACGGTTTTTGGCAATGTCCACATTAGTAGAAAATTGTGGAGTCATCCACCATGGAGTATTTGTCTTTATCTAGCCTCTATTGTACACTGGACTCTGTTCTCTTCATAGCTCTTTGCTCCTGCAAAAACAGCATTTCTCCACCCCACTCAATCCCAGGCAACCGCATCTCAGTTTGCAACATTGATAGAAAATTCCATTATGGACATTTTACACCAGCCCATGAAGTGAAGCTTGGATCGTCCAATGTTATATGTGCCCTCAAACATTTCCCTATACTGTATTTGTTTTGGAATTCTGGAATTATGCCTAAGCCACGTGAGATGCCGAGACCGCAGGATGGGATATAGTGACTGAATGCCAGCTCTTTTGAGCACTTCTGTATCTGGGACCCTATCTTGCCATTTAATTTTTTAAATATTTCTTAAAGATCTCATGTGAAAACTAATTAACCTCCTCTCCTGACCAGCATACAAGGTCAATGTTTCACTCCTGTAGTGTTGAGAGGATACATGTTTGGTAAATTAGAGTCTTGGTTTTTATCTTAAGTTTATCATATTCCTTTGCTCTTTTCATAAGTTTCTGGAATTCAGCTATGGCCATTCCAATTCTGCTTATCAATTAATTATCCTTAAATTTCAATTTACACAAGACTAAATGTACAAATTTTATAAATAACCTAACAAATAATATTTACTTAATAATTTAACAAATAAAAGGTTTATAGAAAGTAATTCCATCCAAATGTGGGTCAAAAATTACTTCGAGCAACAAAAGACTGGCAGTTGTGGAGAGCCATGATCACCCACTTGCTGAAAGGATTTGGTACATTAAAGAATTTATCCAAGATACTGGCTAATATCTTACAATAGATATTTTACAATAAATTAGCCATGAATAAAAAGGGAGCAATTCCTGACAATTCTTTTCCAAGAAAGTAATAATGAAGTCAGACACATATTGAAATTCAAATACTACTTACCACCCTGTATTTCCCAAAGCAATTGTGATAGAACTAAGCAACAACTTGGCCCGGCTTTCTATATCAATTATATCGGCATTTGATTTGGGGGCGAGAACAATAAAATTACGAAGTCCATACCTGAAAAGAAAATAAATTTAAAAAGAAAATAATAGAAAATTAATGAATATGCCGTATATACTCACACATAATGTGACTTTTGAAGAGCTAATTTTAAGGGGGTCGCATCATGTAAACAATATAAAATTAGCATATGTACTGCTGACTCTGGCTATACCATTGACCAAACTATATATCCATTTACTGTAGTCAAATTAGCTTAAAAAATTAGGTCTTCAAAGGTCACATGATACACAAGTATATATGCTAACTTCAAGAGGAGTGATCAAAATTATTATAGATATAGAAAAATGCCTGACAAATTTTTAGCATTTTTGCTATTTTTATCATTTTGTTTAATGATTTTTAAAAAGTTTAGATATGTTAAAATCTAAAACCAATAAATTGTAAACAAGTGAAATTATTTCAAGTACTTACCATCTACAAAGGCAATGAGCTCGAGATGGAAAGTCATTATCCATTGACATCATATCTTCAAATACAGTAGGAGTGGCATCTGAAATAAAAACCAATTGCTTTACAGAATCTTTCAGACTTGGTAAAAGATGTGTATATATATATATATATATATATATATATATATATATATATATATATATATATATATATATATATATATATAACTGATGATCAACACGAAACAGTAACAGTCTGTTTCATGCTTGAACACAACCTGAAAATTCCATTCAAGCATGAAACAGATTGTCGCCATTCAGTGTTGACCTTGGTACCCAGTTTTAGTCTGACATACCCTCTATCCTTGATATTGAGCACTTTTATCCATAAATATAGCATACCTTAAAACTATATTTTCTCATATATATCAATATAAAGTAGTGTACAGTGAGTGCTGGTGGTAATAAAACAGTGCTTGATGTATAACAGAGATAAAATTTATACTAATAAAAAATGTACTTTTTGTTCCTCACTGGTATCACAACAAAATGTATATTTCTTATTATTAGCATATATATATATATATATATATATATATATATATATATATATATACACACACACACACACCCATTATATACATATATATTAATCCAGTTCACCCCAAGCAAGGCAATAAAGCCACTAAAACACAAGGGGTTAAAGGTGTGAAAGAACTAGAAAACAGAAACATTACTAAGGACTGAGACCAAAAGAAGAATTATAAGAAGGACAGTAGATATCAAAGATCTCATCTGAAGAGTTGCCATGAAAGTATTTATAGAAAAGGCACAGGAAGGCAACTTTATGGTGGTGGGAAAGTAACTGAAGCTGAAATGCCAGATCAGGACCAATGATATTGCTGATTCTTCTTTGGATTTTATCAAGGATCTCTAGATATATAGCAGAAGCACCAGACCATGTGTAGCAACAATATATTAAGCATGGATTCAATATAGTCTTCCCACTTCATGTCAGCCAAGAACATTAACATTGAGAAAGCACAATGAGTCACTCTGCTGGAGGTTAGCATCAGCCATACTGATGGAAGATAGAAAGGAGTCTCTCAGATGATTCAAAGAGAGCAGTTTAGTTTTGAAGGCATTAAAATTAACAAGTCATCCTTTACCACAGTTAGCAATAGCCTGAAAGTTGTTTTTGACATCAGCTGTCAATTTGACCTTATTGGACTGATGGGACTTACTATCAAGACAGGAGCAAATGGTTGTGTCATCAACATAGATACCAAGTTAGGAGCTGATGTCATCAAGAAGGTCATTAATAAAAATTAAAAACAAAGTAGGATCAAGGAAAGAGTCTTGGGAGACACCTGCATTAATACAAAAAGATCTGGAAGAGTGGCCATTCAGGATAATTTTTATTTCCTGATTTGATAAAAAAAAGACTAGATTAGTTCAAAAATTTAGCCAGAGACACAATAACTTTTCAATTTGTAAAGAAGACCTGTACGCCAAACCCTATCAAAAGCTTTCAAAATGTTCAAAGCAACAGCCTGAGCTTCACCATTGTTATCTAGAGATTGATAGATTCTTTTTGCAATTATCATCAGGAAAGTCCTGTGATATATTAAAAACAATAGATATTTTGTGCCGATTAATTTTATTAGTTGACTTTTCCAAATCATGAATAATCCTTCTCAGACAAGGAAGAAATTTTGTCTGAAACTGTCCAAAGTTTTTCAAAATGAACTTATATTTTCTGACAGTATTTCCACATGGTCTGAGGAGGAGTATTCATAATTTGGAAAAGTCAATCATCAAAATCAATCAACACAAAATATCTGTCTTTTTTTTTAATAATACTTGCCTTAAAGAACATTTGCTGCCTAAATACACAGAATACATATTAAACACACAAGATGTGGCAATTCCCAAAATGATTGCAGTGTGTTGTTGGGGTAATAATTCAGGTAAACATTTGTAATCGCAAACATTCAGATCCAACTTTTGCTTTCTTGAGATGCAGAACAGACAAGCATTAGAAGTTTTATATGTTCCTGTTATGTTGCTGGCAGAAAATGAGTGAAAGCTATCTGCAGCAAAGGATTACTATTTATGATACTATGGACTTTCTAAGTGGCATCCATTTTTATCAAAAGGGAATGGAGAAGTAAAGGAATGGATGAGGGGTTTTTTTTGAGATCAAGTAACAAAAAAACAGAAATAGAGTGTACCTGGGTGCTGGTCTATATTAACAGTCATGCTTGGGATGGGAGTTCTGGTCCACCCTTGGTGGAAGACGGACTTGTCCATTGCAAGGCTTTAAGAATAATATTAGTGTTTTGAAACTACAAGAAAATTAAATGACCTCAAAGCCATCAAAGTTAAAGTCATGGCTATTAATTTGGGCTTTGTCTCTCACTTAAATTTATGAGTGGAAGACCTGAACAGAAAATTTGTTTTAATTCATAGAAATGTGTGCTGTTCAAAAGCCTTAAAATTTTAATTAATATATTTTTAAAATTGGATGAAACTTTTTGTACATTCCTTTAATGTCCACAGATTTCACTGTCTATGAGAAGCCTGTCTACTATACATGGGTGATTCATTTTTTTTACAGCTTCTCACCCCATTGTAGGTTATTTAAAGCCAGAAAATATTATTTGTTAGTATCTGTTACCCTCAATTAAAATGGGAAAAAGCCCATGGTCTCAAGCAATTCCAACCTCTGGTAACAAATTTGTCATTGCACTAAGAAAGTGAGGGTCAGTGTAATACCGACACCAGCATGACAGTGGTTGAAAGGACTGGGCCATTTTTATCCTTTATGTACACTTATGGGCTAAAAAAGACCTGTGTAACATTTTGCCTTAGTAGAGAGGTCAGGTAAATAAAATCCCAACATTTCAGTGATGAAGAAATGAAGATGGATAATGGAATAGATTTGATTTGTTTAATTGCATATCAACTCCTTATGGGTTATTTAATACCAAAATTTAATTTTCTTTGAAGCTTTGAAGTAATAAAAATATGATATACGTTATTCTGCTTTCACAATTGAATCCATGGTAGACGATACACAGATTTTGTGCATATACATGTTTGTGTGGACATAATTACTAGAGGCAGTGATATGTATGTTTTATGTTGTAGTTTTATTGAAGTTATATTTTGGAAGACAGTTTGATTTCTTTCAGAAATTGTAGGATATTGTATGGATTAATGTCACAAGAAGCACAACTCTGTGTTTCATATGCAATGTAATCTTCAGGTGCTGATTGATAATTGATTTTATATAAATTGTATATCCAGATTAGATTATTTAACCTTATTGTTAATTTCACGCAAAAGTGTTTTCTGTTGCCATAGCAGGATATAACAACACAACTATGAAATTCAAATTCAAGGATTAGAGTTACTTTCAGTTGGAGGATAAACTTTCTGCTCAACAAATGAAGTTACATACAGCATGACAAAGGTTAAGACTTCTTATAAAGATCAGAGAGAATTGCAAAACATTGTTATTGTAACTACAAATATTAGTCTGAATGTAAATGAAGAGGACTCTTTATTCCAGACATTCAAACAGGAAATAAACATTTGATTGGCTATTTTAATCATTCTAGTTATTTCTCTACATAACAGCAATCATATTTGGAAATTAAAAAGTCTTTAAAACAAAATCTATTATTCAAAAGGAAGAGTACTAAAAAATGTCAAAACTTAATAAATAACTTTATCATCATATTGACTAACAATAATGGCATAAAATATTGATATTATGTCTATTTGCAATAAACAACATATGTTACAATTATACAAGTGATATTTTAACATGTAAATAATAGGCATGTGTAGAGAATACATTTCTATACAAAAAAGCATCTGTTACATTAACATCATTCTGATATCAGTTAAATCAACATCTTTGTTCCATATATGATGACCATTTTGTTTAAAGTGCATATTTTTTTTTAAGTTGATTGTTTAGTTGTTTTTGTTTAGCTATATATCAATCAATATGTGTTATTTAATGCTAAAATCTGAATACCAAATAATCTTACAAAATCAAAATGAAGAGTTAAAACTTGTTTCTCTGAATTAAACTTTGAATGTTCTGCAGGCAACCTGCCTATTATGTGTCTAACAAACATAATGACTGTGTTTCACATTTCAAAAGATTTTGCTCTATTTCTGTAAGATAAATTACTAAACTCTGGCAATTAAACTGTAAACATTCACTCATGGGTACCAAAGAAAAGGGAGTTTATAAGTGTGGAGTGAGTGATCATTGGTTTGGTTTGGTTTGTTTTACAGCATATCAAGCTCAATGGGTTATGTAATGCCAACAAGATTTTTACAATAGATTTGTATGGATAGAATATGTATTTTTTGTAAGATATCAGTTTGTAAATCAGGTTCCATTGACATATTTTTGTAAAGAGGATTTTTGTTGAGAGTTTGGTTTCATTGATGAATTCTTTTCAGATATACAATTTGCAGAAAAATTGATTTTACTGACATTCTTATTTGGTTTATATTTTTTGGCAGAGTTTTAGAAATGATATTATATCATCCACTTTTGCTTTCTGAAAAAATGGATTTATACATTTTTTATGCTTGAGAACTGAAAACAAAGATGTTAATTATTTTATCTATTTATTTATTAGATTGAGTAAAAAAACTTGCTTTGATAGTTATTTATAAAATGGTAAATAATAAATATTGCATTATAGTTGGTTTACATATTTTGATAATTTTGTAATTTTTTATAACTTTTTGAATGAAAGAGATTTTTCAAATTTATTTATTTATAAAATGGTAAATAATAAATATTGCATTCTAGTTGGGCCACATATTTGATGATTTTGTAGATTTTTATAAATTTTTTAATCAGATTAATACAAATAATATTTTGTCACTTAGCTGATCGATGTTATATCCAGCACCTCAAATCTGGAGTTTAAAAGATTTCTATTTCTTTATAAAATGTAAACAACAAATATCACTTTGTACTTGGTTCACAAACTTTTATAATCTTGTATATAAATATTGTTAAAGGAGTCAAAAGTGTATGCAGTAAAAATGATGTCAAAGGAATAACTGTCCTTTCGACATACCATTTTTTTGCAGGCACAAAGATTAAACATTGCCTAAAAATCAAATGTAATAAATGGTATGGGTTGGAAAAAATGAGAAAAATCTAATAAACTGAAGAGGGTTTCAATAAATAGGGTGAATGGTAAATGATTTAAAATAACCGTATCTGTCTATATCTCTGAGATGAGGTATTATGTATACTATTTACATTATTCAGACAAAGGGTTCAGTTTGACATTCCTGAAGAAGGCCGGAGCGTACAACAGCCGAAACATTGTAATAAATATGGCGACAAAGATGAGGACAATAGTCCGAATAATGTAAATAGTGATTTAAAATAAGTCTTTCAGATTATAACAAGACTTGAAATAAATCTAAAAATAAATGTCCATCTAACAAAAATCCTTTAACAAAATTATAAACATTTCCATCAAGTCTTGTGATCTTTACAAGATAGATAAATATTAATAAACAAGGGGAGGTCCTAATAAGCTCCAAAGTGCAGGAGGGGACCCAAAATTAATAAGCTAGATAAACACCTGTTTATTAGGCACCTGAGAGCAGATGGATCATGACAAGATCATATATAAGCATACTGTTGTCATCATGCCAGAGTTGTAAATGCAGTGGCTATAAGCACAATGTTGTCATGCCATTGTTGTAAGCGCAGTGCATTTATGTCTTTGCTGTAAGCTCAGTGCTGTCACCTCATTGCAATAAATGCACAAGAATTATAGCTATAATGATATTACCTAATTAGAAGTTCTGACCTTTTTTTGTCTCATCCTGTTCATCCTGTTCTTGAGTTTTCTCAGCAACTGTACCTTCAGCAGATTTCAGGTAATGATAAGCAAGATCAAACTTTACATCTACAAACTGGAGCTCATCTGTACGTTCCTCCCATGTTTCTGAAGTGAATTCACCCTGAAAAAGAACAAAACAAAAAATATCAACACTACATCTGTTAAACATTTCTCAATTTAAAATGCAGAGATCAAAAAGCACAACAAACCATGAAATCCACTAACATTTAATATATCATCATATACTGAATAAATTGTTTTTAAATCGCCATATTAATAATAATCATAATAATAGCATTAACATAAAAATCATTGTAATATATCATAATGATATGATAACAATTGAATAATAGTATCATTATACATGAATATGGGTATGTGGTCAAATGGTTAGAACATTTGCTTTCTGACCATGAGACCTGGGTTTGTATCTCAACAGGATTGATTTATCAGGAAGGTAACTTTGATGTTATCATTTTGGAGGAGGTGATCCCAGTATGCGGCCCCTTTGGAAAATGCTAGAAAATTATACCATAGGTTGACCTAAGCCTTGCGAGTGACATTGGGTAAACAGAACCAATGGTTGTGCTGGTACACAAAGTCACAAGTCATTGTGACTGAGGGTTTGAGCATGCTGGGCTTGTTCAGACTGTTGATCACACTAGATAATGTGCTCCCTCCCAGAAACTGTAATTAAGGTTCACTAGGCATAGTTGCAGTATAAACCACAGGTGGACTCTGTAGGTGTTGAACAAACACAAATGTGCCTGAGCAGGCATCTGCAATGGGGATTAGCTAGCCATCCTAGTAGACTGATATTCACATATATGAGTGGCTGCACCATTTAGGCTTAGCTACATGGATTAAGTTTTATTTTTTAGTTTAATTTTTTTTCAGTTATAATAGTTTTGGGTAGTTTCAGGTAGATGGCATTTGACAGCCCAAGAATGCAATACATCTAGGGGAAGGAAAACCCTGATTTTAAACCTCCACTGCCTTACAATCATATCCAAAAAACAGAAAATCCAGACAGGAAACCCAGAACGGAGCCCAAAGGCTGTCAATACTGACAACTTTTTGGTAACTTCTACAGACAAGCCATCCCCAAATGTATTCCTTTGGGTCTTATCAGTATACCTAAAATTTTAACTCAGGCTTTGTTTTGACATCTAAATTGATTGTTTAAAATTTTTTTTCAAACCAAATATGAATTACTGAAGTTTATATAATTTACTTAATAACTTCAGACAAGATGTAGTTAAAAATTATATATGCCTGGTTAAATACAGCATTTTTAAATTGTTTTTTTTTTTATTCAGAAATATAAGGAATATTTACATACTTTAGCCACAGGAGGCAAGGCAGGTAGATTGACTAATCTCCACTCATGTAGGATTTCCTCCAAACGAGCAATGAATCTAGAAAAAATTTTTAAAATCAAATCATTTAGATAAAATGAGTTAAATTCATTCAAAACAATAAAAATGAAAAAGAAAAATTGATGATGTCAGTTGATACTAAAACTGATTGAACAATGTGTAATCATTGTTCAATCAGTCTTAGCATGATTTTAAAAAATCCAAGTTAAAAAATCCAACTTTGAACAAATAATATTATCAAGTGAGTCAATTGATTTATTTGTTATGGCTTATCAATCTTTAAGAGTTTATTTGAATCCAGAAATTATGTTTTTTAAATTGTAAGAAAATTTTTAGAGATAATGATTTAGTGATACAACTCTTACTAATTAACCCATAGCTGTGGGGTGAAGAAATAGATTCATACCTTTTGCCCAAGGGTATTTGGGCATACAAGAAATATTAACATTTTTTTTTTTTCATTTATTAAAACAAAGAAAAAAGATTTTGATACATTTTAAACCAGTCAATATTCTATAACAATTGATAATTATTAGTTTGGTACCAGTCACTTCGCTGATGGCAAGATGATCAAGTTTCAAATGTAAATTGTTTTTCCATTTAAAATATATTTATTAGAAAATGTATTTCAATTCAAAAGTTATTTATTTAAACCAGCCTTTACAATACTGTAGGGATACAAAAGGCAATTATCTCCCTTTGGTGGAGATGAAGTTACATGGGTCACTTGACAGCCACTTTGTGACATCACTTCATACAGTAACAAAAGTCGGTCAGTCAAACCAAACAGTCATTTGTTTGGCTCAGACAGAGGCTAAATCTACCTCCTCCAGCATATGGTGCCACTAACAAGCCTATGGCACTGTTTTTCCATGGAAATATATCTTCACCAGACATAGGAAATACCTCTGGCTTGCAGTCCTCATATCAGAAAAAATCCAAGACTCACAGTTTCCCACTTGTGGAATATGTCCTCACTAGGGACATAGCAGATACATTCAGCCCACTCAAATCTAAAATCCTAAATATAGCTACTCCAGGAACACAGAAGACTCTCCATATTATATGTAAGACCCTATCTTTAGGTTTTCTTTTTTACTTGGCTTGTGTAGATATTTATTATATTTTCTCTGTGGAGAACATGTGTATATGTATATATAATTTTGTGTATGACTTAGCCATGTAAAATTCTCTCTGAGAAGAATGCATATTTTTCATTCATTTTCTTTTCGGTATTCCATTCCATTTGTGGAATAAAGTGTTATCATATCATAGATATAATAATGCCAGTAATTGGGGAAATACAAAACAGGAAAATAAATCTTTCTTCAATAGCACACACATTAATAATATTTTGAAACATGTCACTTTACAGATGGCATAATGATCAAATTTCAAATCTAAATTGTCGTCCATTTAAGATACTACATTTATTAGAAAATATATTCAGTTTAATTAGAGAAATCATTTATTTGAACTGGCATTTATGATACTAGTTTTGTACATGTCCCTTTGCTGATGGCAAGATGATCAAGTTTCAAGTTATTTAAGATACTACATTTATTAGAAAATATATCTGCTTAAAAAAAAAAAAAAAAAAAAAAATGACTTGAAATGACCACACATAATTATCAATAAGATATTAAGGTTTTTCTCACTGTAAGAGAAAGAAAAACTTTTTTATTTCACAGCCATATGTTTAACAAACAAAACAGTTGATAAATTTTTCTTTTAAGTCTCAGCCCAGGGTAAAGAATGCCCAGACTGAATTGGAGAGGGGGGGCCTTATTTGAAACCGTGTATATATAAGTGTGTACATTAAATGGTACAAGTACGTCTCACACACACATACATTCCCTACAAGCATGCAAAGACACACATACACAGTGTATGACAGATGGAGAATCAGCTGTTCTTTTATTGTAACAGAGCCATTGACACAGACTGTCTTATAATAATGCATGAACTGCCATTTACTAACTTAAGGTAATGAGATAATTTAGAATTCTAAGTGAAGAAGTAAAAATAATAAATGGAAAAAGTATGGAAGATTAGTCGAACCTATATTAACTAGAACCTATAAAATGCTTATGAGGAAGGCATCAGTAGGTTTGAACCCAAAATAAACCTAGTAAGATTTAGTAAATTCAGTATGACTGAATTTTCCCTACCCCACTTCTCACCCCCAAGAAAATTGTGGTAACAAGATTAATGTTTATCAAAATTCTGCAAGACCAGGGAAAGTCTGGGAAGTGAACTATTCAACCAAATTTACATTGATTCTTACCAAAATTTATAATGTAATCTGACCAGAGGCTATATTTGGTCAAAAGTATTTTTGAACATAGCCATGTGCATTCCTAACAGAAAGTTCTTTGTGGGAAGATAATATCTATCAATGCCATATAGATGTCTATATAAGCCAGAGCCCACAGTTGATTAGTCTGTGCCAGAGAATTATTTGTTGCATACATAGAGAATGCTGCCTTTCCTAATCACTCCCCTAAAACTGAAAGAATTTCAAACACAGAGACACAATGTCTAACTCTGCTTTTAACATTCTCAAGATCTTAGTTAAAAAAAAAAAAAATTAAAAATTAACCAAAAGTGATTGTAACATTTGATAACCTATGGTTTTAAATTGTTGACTGTTTTAACATCAGCTTTTATTCTTTCTATATATAATCTGCCTTTCAGATTACTTTTTCTTTTATTTTCACATTTTTTTTTTAAATAAACGTGATTGAGAATCAAGGATGCTTAATCAGTAGAAATCAAAGGCCTAAAACCCCAGCAACTATAGGTTAGCCCCCTTTTTTAAAAATAATTTTTAAATAGTTGCTAATTTTTCTAAAAATGCCTAGGAAATCTGCCAATAGATTATTTATTGTCAGCCTAGTGTTGGCTGATGATGCAATCTTAAACACTTGACACTAAGCATCTTGACTAAAGTAATTGATGAAACTGGTGACCTGTGTTCTTTAGAATGGTTGGTAAAACATTAACAAATTGCCAATTGATTTGAGCTTTATAAAATGATAAATAATAAAGATTTCATTATACAGAATTCACATATTTTTATAATTTAGTAATTTTTTATAAACTTATGAATAAAAAAATTATTTTCATAATTATTTCTTTATAAATTGTTAAATGGTAAACATTGCTCTAGTTTAGTTGGTTCGCATTTTCAGAATTTTGTAAATATATAATTATTCTTGTAAATAAACAATCTAATAAATAGTGTTTAATATTTTTGCTGTCACTTGTCAAGAAAATGTATAAATTCCCTTTCATATGTTTAGTATTTTTTATTGAAATTCTTATCATTTTTTAAAAACAAACGTTGCCAAAGGAATAAAGATAGTTTAAATAATGGCGGTGTCAAGAAAAAAAATCTCATCCTTTTAACACTCCATCTTTTTTTAATCAACAGCTTCCATATGGGGGCTCATTTCAACTAATAGATACAAGTTATCTCCCTTGAGAAGGATAACAGTACGAGAACAATCTAATTCATGAATTGAATAATGGGTTTAGTTTTAAATTCTCAAAAGGTTACCAATTATAAAAGATATCTGAAGTTTTGGTTGGATGATTGATTTTGTTTAGCAGCATTTCAACAGTTGTGTGGGTTATTTAATGTGAAATTTAAATATTTTGAACACCATTTTATGACTTCAGCTAATTATATTTTGAATGGAATTGTATGCCTTGAACTACAAATAAAATGTATTGTTGATCATTTTGCTATAAAAAATTTTGTTGGTAATTTTACTACAAAAATGTATTTTTGTTAATTTTACTATAAAAATATATTTTTATACTTTCATAGTGTTTTGTTTTTGTTTGGAGGTTCACTATTTGGCTATAGCTGGGACCCTAACAGGTGCTACCACCCCAAGTGTGGGCAGACCATTGGAACAACAATTAAGAGGTGGTTCTATGATCCTGAAAACTTTCGATCTCTGGCCTTGCTGCCAGATGTGATATCTAAAGAAGACCAGAGATTACAATGGGCCAAAATATTGTGACAATAACAAATAAGATAAAAATCTTATACTAAATAAATATATAATACAAATAACGTATATAAATCAGTCTATAATAATTCTAAATACTAAATAGTAATTGGAAGCCATTCCCAAAGAACAAGTAGTTCTTCATGAATTTCATGAGGAATCAGTTAAAATATTCAATATTTAGAACAACATTCTGCTCCCATATTTCAACAATTTACTTTGATAAATAAATGTGGTTTTATAACACTAGAAACATCATACAATTCTTGAAGTTGGATCTCAGGCAAGCACTTTGAAACAAATATACATGAAATGAACATTATTGATTCATTGATTTTTTTTTTTTACAGCTTATCAACCTTTTGAAGATTATTTAAAGCTACAAAATATTTTTAGATAATAAAATATTTTATTTCAAAATAATGATTTATAAATATAAGTCTTACTAATTAATCCATAGCTGGGAGAAGAGGAGGAGGATTCATACTTTCCCAAGGATATTTTCATGTAACTGACTATAGCAAACACAACTGGAAATCAGACTCAGTTCCAAGATTTTCCAATTTCAAACTGTTATCCATTACACTAACCCGCACATCCAAGTTTACAACCTCTGGTATTCCAAGCAGTCATCCATCTAGGTACTGATCAGGCTCGATGTTGCTTAACTTCGATGATCATAGAAGAACCAATGTTTCAATGTGATATGGCCGATAAATGAACATTATATTAAGTACCCCCAAACCAGCGTAATTTATATTGCAAAAATAAGTCAAAATAGTAACATGTCTGTCAAGTTTAAAGGATGAGATTGCACTTATTTTGATAAAATTAATATGTAAACAAAATTTAACCTCTTCTCTTTATTAAGATACAATTCTTTCTTGTGTGTGATGATTAATTTTAACTCCACTACTTTTTACATTATGACACTATTTCAATGACTGGTGTTCCTTTTTCACATTTTCAAAGCTAAGAATTTCATAGTGGCTTTTTTTCAAACTTGTGTCTTCCTAC